TACCACAATTGGGCTTGTTCTTGTCTGCTTTCCTGTCAAATGAGGGCTGTCTCCTGGCTTCCAGCTAACTCCAAGGTACATCTCTATCACTTTTTCTTCAGGAAGTGAACCCCTTGGTACCACAAGTGTGACCCCTAGTTCCTTTAAATAAACAAAGCCACCATGATGGTCCATACTGAACCTCTGAATGCAGATTCCTGATGCAACCAGTGCGAACTTTAAGTTATCTGTGCTTGTGTCTTCTTGTAACCGTACAGTGTCTGTAAAAATAATTAAATTTTGCAAGATGTGGACTCAAAACCAATTAGTTTAACATACAATTTTTACCCAAAATGAATTATCAGATCTTACGGGTGACGTCATAATTGCGATTTTGGGGTACAAACTGAAAAATCGGTTTTGCAAATTTCTCTTTTACATGAGCACCCACGATGACCGTTTCTATGCCGATTTAATAACACCATTTAGTAATCCAAAATTATGCCAGCAATTTTTCTTAAAATCTTAGTTCAGATTTTATCGTTGATAAAGTAAACCATGCCTTTGTTGGATGAAAATCTGTTATTAGGCACTCATAACAAAAAAAAATGATGGCACAGAATTGCAGAGTATACACTCGAGGTCAAGCCTGCCAATTTTCGTGATAAAATATTGATCCCCCTTACCGACTGCTATCTCACCTCAAAAGAGAAAGGTGTTAAATTAACGATAAAATCTTAGAGTTGCCTTTGCTTATAATTGCAACGAGAAATATAAACGCCGATATTTTATATTTACGGGGATTTTTTATTTTAAATCAGTACAATCAGTACATTATTGAATAATAAGATGCAGGAAGAACCTCATTTTCAGTATCTGGATGATTATAAAGGGTTACAATATCCTTAAACGATTCTCATTTTAACCCTATTCTACATAGTAATGAACCTCTACCTACCTAATTCCTGTTCAAGTGTCCATAACACTCCTGATGCGGCTTTCTTTATTTCATGACGATAATGTCGAGAAAATTTTCGAAGCCTGTCTACGCACTTTGTATCTTCCTAGAAATAGACAACAATTGAAATTTGGAGATTATATTCCATAAGGTTTACCCAGTTATCCACATTAAACAGTAGGTGTATTTATACAAAAAAAAATGTTGAGAGTCACTTCCTTACAAATAAAGTGGCCTTTGGGATAACCGTTGAATCTTTTGCAGTAAAACGCATTATGTCACTTAATGTCACGCATCAACTTGAATAATTTATCAAAAAATTATATAAATCAATATTTATCGATCGCAAATCTCTACAATTCATTTGATCCAAAAATATCAGTTGCTTTCAATCTATTTTTTTTTTTTTTTTTTTTTTTGAAAATTACCTTTATTTTTGCTTTATTTTCTTGAACAAAAGAAAGTTTCCACAGCGTTTTTGCTGCTTGTTCTACATCTTCTTCATCAGTTGACTCCAGCATTCTAGACAGAAGTGGTAAGGCGCCATGTTGTCCTATGGCGGCTTTACTCTTGTCGTTTCTAGCGAGTACCCCCAATCCTTCAGCCAGTTCAGATGTTGATAATCCTCTGAATCTATTATTTTCGGCATCCAGCGCACACTTCAGCCCGTTAATGAGAAATTCGAAAACGGTTTCGTCTGTTGTCAGCAAATCGTTTTGTTCTTCTTCTATGATGTACCATTTTATTAAGGTCGCTTCCGCTTTTATCTCTGGAATAAACGTGCTCAGCTAGATTATAAAGTACTAGTCCGTGTTTTTGTATTTAAGGACACGGGACACGCGCAAATTATACAACCCTGACCGAAAGATTAAGGAGAAAACCATCATAAACTTTGACACTGATAGCCACCCTTAAATCTACTTTACCATGGTACCTGGTAGACTATTTCACTATTCCTATAGAATTTAGTTTACAGTTATACTAATAGATAATATTATTTAAGTCAGACCAAAATATATTTTAATATATTTGTATGTAAAACCACAAACAGTCAATAAATTAAATAGCTTTTATTCTGTTCCTAAGAATATAACTTACTGGCATCGCATGACTGTAAGTAAGGTTTGATTCTTTCCACGACGTTAAGTTCACGGAAAATGTCTTTTGTAATTTCGAGCCTTGAACAGTTGTACACTGGAGCTATGGCGGTTTGAACGGCTTCCAATGTCTCTTTGTTCTATAAAACAAGAATAAAAATCGTTCCATGATTATTACACATTTGGTACGTTCACATATCCTCTATTTCACTTAATCAAAATGCAACATTATACTTTCTTTTGAAAATGTAAGTCTTTCTTTATCAATATTCAATTTGTAGAAACAAGGATGTTCATCACAATAGATTTGCACAAATGCGTAGTTATTGAAAGGTTTTATGGATGACCATAAATGAAAGAATACTTTATCAAATTTGATAAACCACAAAGTGTTTGAACAAAACATGTGTTGAAAAAATCGACGTACACTTTCATCAATAATGTCGTTTTGTATCCCAATCTGTATGACGTCTAGGTCCCTCATCATGAGTTTCAAGTAGCCAGAGCGTGCAAGTTGCTCGGCAAATTGTGGACTGGCATCACTGTAGTCCCAGAAAAAAGACCGCAAATTGCTCAGTTCAGTGGTCCACGCCGTGTCACTCCTATAGCATGTCACTGCATTTAGACGAAAATGTTTCAATGAAGTCTCGTAATATTTAACCAACAAGGGGACCAACCCGAGTTCAGTAACGCGATCTCCTAAAATAAGTCTCTGTTCTCGGTGTTTGAAAATTGAATAAGGCACCCGAAGGTCGTTCAAAATCCTATCATGTATTTCCCTCCTCTGTTCGTTGTTTGGGAAACGTATACAGTGCATAAACTGGGCGAAAACTTCGCATGCATCGAGGAACTCGTGTAGCTTTTTCTGACAGGTTGTTTTCTGTCCTTGGTCCATTTGTGATTGTCTCGGCGTTTTGGCAGCCCCTGTTGACCCCTTTCTAGCGGCGATGCTACCACCCGCTTTCATTCCTCTGGGCAATATTCCACTGTGACTTAGGGCCATTTTTTAGCAAATGCTGTTAAGAGGACAAAAGCTGACTGAAATAAGAAAAAGTATGTCACTTTTTTACTTGAAAAAATAGGTAATCAGTGAAAAATTTTTAAATGTTGTATTATGTTACGAGTAAGTGCAATTAATACACGCACATTATTTCTAACTCAGAAAGAACTTCTAATAATCCCGTTGTAATTAATATAAGCGCATTACTTGTATTGAATCAGATAAGGAATTGTACCTAAAAATACTATTCGTGTAATCAATGAATCAACCACATCTACCCCAAACGTATTGAAAGTATCTAGCGTTATCATAAAGTTGGTCCAATGTCGGTTAACTGGTTGAACAAATGACATTGGCCCAACATTGGCCAGCTGACACACTGATATTGTGCCTATGACGCAGCCAATGTCGAGCTGATGAGCAGCCATACGTTGGCCTAATGCCGGCTGCAGCCTTCATTGGGCCAACGTCAGTCATTCGACTAAGCTAGCGTTGTATTGGGACAATTTCATGCCCACGATATCATGCTTTCTGGAAAATCTGAATATACTAGTGCAAGTGCAATCAGCGCAGCTGTCATTATTTTAACTGGCCATATTTGTCACGCCATAACTAGTACAATACAAATTTTTCCGTTAACCCATTTAACAAATATTTCATCACGGAGTGGGTGAATGTGTGCACATGAAGAATGTATACTGCATTTATAGAATGTGTTTGTTTTGTATTTTTGGTGTCCAAAACTAATTTCAATTAAAAAAAAAATATATATATATATATATATATTTTATCGCTAACGCTACCCCTGAAAGACAGTGCATAATTAAACCCACCACCTTCACAGCTACACGGCCGCCATTAAAAAGAACAAACTAGACATCAGGCGGTGTTAGAAAATGTATGATCAAATTAATGTACAAATTCCCTTCATGAACTTACCAGAAGCTTACACTGTTTTGATTAAACCTCAGATAATTGGGATCTATTTTCTTCTCCCCCTAATGTTGTCCTACTAGGACTGTTATGACTTCTCAACTGACTGCACAATTCCTCGTCACTGCAATTGAAAATCGATAAGTACCGGGGTATGTTAATAAAAGCTGAAAATACCAAACACAAACATCTCACGACAAAGCAGTAGATTGAATAGCAAGCGTTTGACTTACCCTGGCAAAACACACAAAAAAAAGTATGTTTTGCTCTTAGCGGGACACGTTATGAAAACAGAATGTGTTTAAAGACCGTCCGACAAAAGGTGTTTCTCCGCTTTTTTTCTCTTCTTTTCATTTACCTGGTGTCGCGTATAATGCTATGTAATTGTGTTATTGTTAGTAAATAGGTCGATCACAAACTGTTAGAGTAAAATACAATCTAGCAGCGGTAAAAAACGAGACAAAATACAAACAGAAAACGCGCTTCGATGTAAAAACTGGCAGGCAGTATATGTATGAATTGCCCCTTAGTACCTTAGAGCTGATAAAATAGTTATAGAACGCATATTCCACATTACACACACAAACTCACATACACACAGTACTAGTACTTTTGGGTTGACTGTCAGGCGTCGCTAGCCGTGACGTATATTAATGGAGCTGAAAGTGAATGTTAATAAATATGTAAGATTTATTTGCCATTGTTGCTGTAATCGAGTTTCAAAAATGAACTGGAATGACTCTAGTGAAATAAACTGCATCCATTATTGCACGGACGAAATACATCTTCCAATTTATAACACAGTTGTGGACTTTGGCAGAGGCCAATATTTGGTATTGGCGCAGATAAATGTTTGAATGAGATGGGGAAGAAACCAAAGCTGATATTTGTTTTATCTTAAAAATGTAACACGAAGTTAATATTCCATGAATACAAATTTATGTGAGGCAAATAACAGTAAAATAAAACAATTTTCTTTGTCAGATTTTATATTTTATTGATATTCCAAGCATGATAAATAACAATACAATGTTTTTTTTTAAAGGTAGTTTATAGTAACATCAGTGCAGTTATAGAAGAGAGGGCAGCAGTTGAAAGACATTCATAATTGCACGATTGCCACTTTACCAGGGCGTTTCAGTTCTTTTCCCCTTGCTTTGAAAATCTTGTTTGATTCCTTTAAGTCCAAACTTTTGACCATGTCAAAGTCCGTTTTCAACGCTTGTAGCTGCCCATTAAGTTAGTAGCGAACGGAGAACAGCGACGTCTTCTTGTGAATTTCACCTTATTATATATCATATTTTATACATGTGCGTTTAATGTTTCATTTTAACTTGTGCGCCCCCGAGAGATTTCGGGCTGAAAGGCTGTAGGAATATAAAAAATAATGGGAGACATTGAAATAAGCAGATTCACCTAAATGTCTCATGATGTGACAGCATGATCTTATTACATGTACATGATATTTTTTTTATTTTCGCATTAATTACACTGATGAGGAAAAAGAACCAGGCCTAACCTACGTAAGTGACTTGAAAATGTTAAGACAAAAGCCGACAAAAATTTACTAGAATCATCCACCACTATAATTATTGTCGCTTTTTTATAACCAAAATCAATAATGGCATGACATTTCAACTCCACTGAAATTCTGACATGAAAATATAGCCTCCTCCGACACATACTCGGTATCACCTACATGCAGAAATAGACAAATCTTCCAGGTTTCTAACCTTATTTAATAGTTAAAGAGAATGAAAAGTATACTTATTTATTTTAAGCAAACTCCTTAAAATACAATATGTCACACATAAAAACGGTTTATACAATATCAGTTTACAGTTCCCTTGAATGGTATAATGCTGTTCGCATGCACGATATCAGAATACTTTAATTCATTTTTCCTACGCAACATTTTCATCAAATTCAAGTGACCCGCTTTTATTCTTTCTATTATTATTATTATTATTATTATTATTATTATTATTATTATTATTATTATTATTATTATGGTTTTGGAAGGGCTAAGCACTCCATACAACGGATGTTTATATGTTGATGAAACTGTATGTCAGTACAGTGTATGGTATCATAGTAGTAAAGAGGCTATAGAACGGGCGCCATGTATCCTCCAGTGTAGTAAACTATATGTCAGTACAATGTCTGGTATCATAGTTGTAGAGAGGCAGTAGGACGGGCGTCATGTATCCCCCATAGTAGTAAACTATATGTCAGTACAATATCTAATATCATAAAGCAGTAGAGATACTGTAGGACGGAGGGTGTATATCACTTTGAGCAGTAGGAGTGTCTGGTTCAAATGCCTCGTTGTATTTTCCACTGTCAGCTGCATCCGCCTCTTCTTCATGTGTGTCCAGCTCAGTCTGTAAAATATCACGTCGGATTGTGTTAGTTGTGACATGAGACCAGATTGTGTTAGGTGTGACATAACATGAGATAATATTGTGTTAGGTGTGATATAACATGACATCAGATTGTGTTAGGTGTGAGATAATATGACCTCAGAATGTTTTAGGTGTGACAACATAAAATCATATTGTGTTGGGTGTGACATAACATCAGATTGTGTTTCATTATTGCGTTATATGTAGTGAACATGAGATATTTTACAGTATATACAAATAGATTGTAGTGGGTGTGATATCTTGATGCAGATAACACTTATCTACTAGATATTTACAGGTTTGAGACATTTCACTGATGAACTTCTCCTTCTCTCTCCTTTTTTTTTTTTTTTTTTTTTTTTACTCTACCTTGCTTGAACTGGTCACAATGCCGGTATCATCTGTTGCAATGGCGCTCTCCTGGCGCAGCACTTTGGCAAGGTCAGAGGTCGCAGTATTCACTGGCGGCCAATGAGAAGAGGCTATAATCTCATCCTCAATGTGCATGTAACGATACTGCTTGGACTTGCAACACCATTTCCTGGTCACGGTGCGAACTTTTTCTCGGACTAAACCATCCAGGATAAAGGTCTGGACAAACAAATCAACGCATTTTAAATGGTGTGCTAAGAGACAGTATAGGTAGTATCAGATTGACTATACTCTGAATTAATATAACAAATTGATAATTACACGAGGGACAGTTAACCTCACTGAACCCTGACGTGTATGTGTGACATTTGTCTGCATCACCATATTTTCTGTAATACATCTACCTGTTTTTTAGCACTGAGAGATGTTTTTGAATAGCCATGTGGATACAATTTGGTAACTATGTTGAGAGTTTAAACAGTGTAATTACCTACCTCAAGGAATAATGACGCCAGGAAGTTGACGGCAGCCACACACACTATAATTATTCTGAACAGCATGTCTGGAAGGTCTGCAAGCTAGATAAAAACACCTTGCTATTTAATACATATTATATATAATATAAATTTAAACAAACATGGTAAAAGTTTAATTAAAGTTAAAACTTTCGTATAATATGCCATCACTTTTGACTGGTAATTGTTCAACATATCCCTGACTTAAGGTGTACAGAAGCAATAAATACTTAAGTTGCAATTTTTTTGATTTTACAAATTCGATTGCCTCAGGTATGTCCTAATGTAATAATGTGAGAACTCAAATTGTATTAGTTGTGACAACTCAGATTGTGTTAGTTGTGACAGCTGAAAATGTGTTAGTTGTGCCTCTCACTTCCATGAGGTCAGTCAGGAACTGAGGTGGGTAGATGGTCAGCCACACGTTGATGATCGTCACAGCTATCACGTTGATGAGGAAAAACCCTGGAACAACCAAGAGTTTTAAATATACCATAAAATTGAATGTTTTAACAAAAGGGAACTTTCATTTTCGAAATTAAACTGCGAATACTTTCTAACCGTAAAACCAATAAAGCATGAAAACTAAAAAAAACGTGCTTGAAAGCATTTTTTAATCCTAAACCTGACAATGAGGCTTACTTTATTCAGAAAGAACAGCTGCTACATTATGTCAATTCCAGACTCACAATGGTCACATTTTCATTAAATAAAGGCACCTTGGATTCCAATCAGTCGTGGAACCAGACCCCAACGAATACCATACACTCACTGTTGCTGCCATCAGCCTCCTAAAGAGCGCTCCCTTATGGAAGACGACTGGCGGAGTAACTGACCCCTCACACCTCAACCAGCACAATGTCTATCTCAACTAGCACAATACCATCTCAACTAACACAATGTCTATCTCAACTGACACAATGCTCATTTAAATTTATACAATGCACATCTCAACACACGCTTACAGTTGGTGAACATGGACCTCCTGAAGGGCGCCCCCTTGTGGAAGATCACTGCCAGGGTGACATACTGGTAGCAGGAGATGAGAGTTATGGTGGCGTTCATGTGACTGGCATACTCATCGTCAGGATTGTCCACAAAGGAGACGAACCTGAAAAAACATTTATTTGTATTCGCTGGGTACGTCATTAGACATATTTTAACATTTTGTATAAATGTACCATCTTTTCAGAAAAAAGTTTTTAATTTTGCAATTTTACATCACTAAAATTATACACATATCACTGGCAGATCCACAATTAAAGCCAGAAAGAAGATTAGAGATTAATTTGATTTTTTCTCTTTTTTCATTTTTTTTTTATCTACGTCTTTCCAATCCAGCCCTGCAATTTATCTATAACTATCAATACACTTACCAAGGCATGGTCTTTACATAGAAGAAAAAGAACGTCTGTATGCCGGTCATCAGGATCATCTGGAAGACCAGTGACATCAGTGGCTGGGCAGTAAACAGACTGACCGTCACCTTGTCCTTGGTTAGGCTCTGGTAGGCCCTGGTGTAACTGACTAGACACAGGGAGGAAGAACACTTTATATTACGATACCAAGTTAACTGAACTGTCACAGTAATATACAAATTCCATTTTCAACAAACTATTTGCAATTTTATTCTCTAATAAGAACTAGTATGTGACAAAAAACAAAAAAGGCAATAAACCTAAATAAAAGAAATCCTTTAACTTTTCTCTTGGGCTAAAATAAATAACACTGTACTTTGCAAATATACCTTCACCCACTTCACCTTATCCTTTAAATATTCAATTTCCACCAAATTTAATGCAACTTTTAAGAGATATATCTTTTACGGAAACAAATAAAACCATAACATAACAACATATTTATCAGAGAAAGGTAAAGATATTTTAAATGCAAGCACTAGGCATGCAACCTGCAGTTGGTGTGGCAGTATGGAAATTACAGGTTTATAACAATTTAATTTGTGTTTTGTTGTACATGTTTAAAATAAGACATGGAGTTGTATTAGGTGTGAAAAGATATGGAATGTGAAAGATGTAACAAGGTATGGAAATGTGTTAGATGCGACAAGTTGTGGGAATATGTTAGATGTGGCATGGTACGGGAATATGCTAGGTGTGCCAGAGAATTGTAAAACTGACACATTAGACAATAAGCGCAGCATTAGGTGGGACGGCAGTACACTTTTAAAACATTCCTAGTTGTGTTAGTAGTGACAACAGATAATTGCGTTAGTTGTGATATACTTACATGTGACAGCCAAAGTTGTGACAGGAATCATATCAATATACAAGAACCCAAAGTCGGTCAGGTTGTTGCCAATCTACAATATCACACAGCAAGAAACAACAGCGACTCAAAGCCATGCACAGGTCAGCACTAGTTACTGGTATATATGCATTCTCATAAATATGAGGAATTTCACATTTTTAAAAGTTCTAAAAAGAGCTGTGTATATACCTCAATAGTAAGGAACACTTTATATATGAATATATTAAAACATGCAGGAAATTACCTTGTACATATGATAAGTTGGCCAAAAAAGGCACACAAATTGGGACGAGTATAACTGGGTTGAATCAATGTGATGCGACTATCTGCACATGTACATAAATATTATACCATCCAGTAGTCAGCCTGCGAACTTTCAATAATATGAGGAAGGTCATTATAACTTACCCAATATAATATGAGGACAGTTACAAACTGTGTCAAGCTGATACACGCCATAAACTTGAAAATCCCAAATGTTGTGGTTAGGGCTGCCTTGCCTTCCCTGTACGAAACACATTTCCGTAAAACATTCTATCAATCTATATTCATTTTTGGACTGAATATTTTATTCTGGTATCCACTTTTATGACATTAAGAAATTTCAAAATATAATATATAATATATAAAATATAAAAATATAAATGCTCTTTAATACACCATACTTGTAAAAGATTTTCAACAAAGAATTAACTGTATGCCTGAAATGTAAGCTATGTAAAGTCTTTATCAATTCCTCCCTGTCAGTAAAATACACACTGTACCTTATCAGCGTTGGCGTGCACCGGATGTTCTGCTCCTTGGAGGTAAAAGGTGACGCCACTGAAGCCTCAGCCTCCGTCAACGCAATCCCAGCATGCGCCATTTTGAGAGCTCCACAGTCATTGGCTCCATCCCCGCACATTACCACATAGTAACTTGAGAATACATCATGTGTCTATCATATTGGTTGTAGTATTGGTTAACGTTATAGAGTGTCAGATGTGGCAGTGTTTGAATTGCGAAAATGTGTTAGGTGTGGTAATGTGTTAGGTGTGACAGTGTGTTAGGTGTGAAAGCATGTTAGATGTTTTAGGTATTGCAATGAGTTCGATGTGATAATGTGTTAGATGTGGCAATGTCTTAGATGTGACAGCCTATCATGAATATCCATGCTTAGTGTGATTGCTGTAACATTAAACTTCTGCTAGGTCTAACCAAACGACTGATATAAAAGCAATTTACCCGATCTCTTGTAGCACCTCCACCAGTTGTGCTTTCTGGTTTGGAGACATTCTGGCAAATACAGTACCTCTCACTGCAAGCTGTAATGTCAAGGTTAAAAGTTTACAGTGTTATGTGATATAAATCATTCCCGTCATAAGATAGCTATGGCTCTTATATTTAAGACGTCACCCGCAAAGAAACCCCAAAAATGGCACATCTCCATACCCCCCCCCCCCCACCCACCCACCCAGAGCATATTCCCTGCCCAACAGAGATATGCCACGTTACAACATTGCATAAGTACATGCAGGGGTGGCATATAATACTAACTACCGGTATAAACAATAGTGGACAACACACTATTTGTTTAGAGTTTGTTTGTTTAGACCCAATTTTTGTAAGTTTAGTCAGATAATTAATGAGATATACACGGCATGGCAACATTACATATACATACTTTGGGCAGTATCTCTGGATACAGTTGCTTAGCAACAGCCCATGTCTTCCCTGTAACGGCAATATGGAATTTGTTGGCTTGCTCCATGACGAGGTTGACGTCACCCTAGGAACAGAGAGTGGCTTATTGTTTACCTTATCTACACGTTGGCATCTGGTTGCATTTTACTTTATTCGTTCAAATTCTCACATGCAAATACCCATGTATGTACATAAATACTTAGAGACACACAAACAAACGTATATGTACATTTCTCTTATTTTTTAATTGACTTCCATGTATATTAATTTATTTTTACAGGTTTGTCTATTTATATTTGCCTGTATGTGACGATTCATACATCAATGGCCTGTGATTTCACTTACCAGTTCTCGCACTTTCAGCTCTTCGATTCTCTCGCTGGTCTCCTCAGCAACCACCCACTCTAACCTGGGGTTAAGCTCAGCTCCAGAGGGAGGGGATGCAGTGGCCAGAATGACATTCTGTCCTGGCTGTATCATTCCACACTCCCTGGCGACACTGAGCGCTGTCAGCATGTTGTCACCTGTCATCCCAAGGACAGAATGTAGTGAAATATAGCAATGTGATATATCACAGTCCCAGAAAAAACGTTAAACAAGGTTATTACCAAAAATACTGTTTACTTTCAAAACTACATGTCCAACTTACATATGAACACATTTCTCCCACATTTCTACTACAATCATTACAATGCCTCCCGCCGAGTTTTGCCTAGTTTACCTCACTCTGAGTCTTGGCAGGATTACACTCAGCACACATTGTTTTCTTGTCACAGCCATACAAACATTCATTCATTTTCACTTTCAAATTTAACACACTGTGTCCTCCTGATGGCAACAACAAGGTTATCTATAACATCAGGTGAGCAGGTGTATTACAGTTTTCATTTCAACTAACACATCGACTGTCTCAACTAAAACATTTTCCAGCTCAACTTCCACATTGCCCATCTCAATTAACACAATCTAAACCTCGATTCAGTGCACATCTCAACTACCACAATGCTCCTCACCCGTTATCATCACTGGCCTAACATATGCCTCTTGCAGCACTTTGATCGTGGAGGCACTTTCTGGTTTCAGCTTGTTCTCCATCACCAGCAGTCCTAGAAAGCTGAGGTCACATTCTACTTCTTCCCTGTATTGTAAGATTACATGAAATCTTTTATACCAGACATGGCCTCAGATTGAGAATATATGCACGAGAAAAAAACTAATTTATATGTAACATTAAGCTATTTGACCTAATAACATTCTCATAGAGGCAGTGAATGTATGTAACAACAGTACACAGTAGTGTTGATCTTGCGATGCTGTGTTAGATAATGACATCTGTCTGCAGAGATGTACACACACACTGTCAATATTCAATACGCCAGATACCAGCAATCACAGTCTGCAAACTCCTCATTTACCTTGCCACTCTTTGTATCTTCACATAGTTCAGCTTGGGAAGAGGTCTACATGCCAAAGCCAACACGCGGTAGCCTAGCTCTGTGTACTGCATCAGGACATTGTGGAAGTTCTTAGGAACTGAAATAAAGTAATATAATTTCTAATTAAAATCATCGCAAAGCATACTGATCTGAAACATTTGTTATAGCAAATGCAGTCTGAATATGTAGAAAGTTATAATGAAACCGAAACAAACATAAAGACAATTACATATTTTCAAAGGTGCATACAGCAAGCAATCTTGATAAGTAAGCCATGATATATTGAGGAATAAAATAATGTGTTATATAACGTCTAACTTTCATCTAAGAAAACACCAGTCATAAATACATCTACCTGTTTCCGGTTTTGACAAGGACTCTATCTTCTCTGGGGATCCTTTAGCATACAGCTGGAAGTTGTCATGTCCCAGAATCCTCACAATCACGGACATTCTCTGGAGGGCAGAGGTAAAGGTGAACTGCCGGACAATACCCACCTCTAATGGCGCCAACTGTGAGGAGAAAAAATGACACAGCTGATTTTATCATACATTTTGTTGAGTAGATATGTTGAAAAAGGGTTTTATATATAAATTTGATCTGCCAGTGAATCACACGGACTGTCTTCAGTATATGTTTCAGCAATACGTTCTGGTGTGACAGTGTGTTTGTTGTGACAGTGTGTTAGTTGTGACAGTGTGTTAGATGTGGCAGTGTACCTCAGGAGGCAGGTTGGCAGCATTTACGATATCAGGCCGTGACGGACGGACGATGGTTGGAGCCAGCGATTCATACTTATTGGTCTCCTCTTCTCCTGGTTCTTCCAATTCCTGAAGAATAAATTGACATCAGTCCATTTCAAGCTGATATTTCATTGTCGTTTCTTTAAATTAGCTTATGTAACTGATATTGTGAAAGATTTTTTGTAGTAAGAACTTTGTTGATTACCTGTATCTTCCCTCATTCAAGGGCATTTGAAAACATAGTCAAGTTATCCCAAATCTACTAATTGATTAGCAGGAATCTTGCAAAACTGTATACACTTAAAAACTTTTTAGACATATTCAGACATTACCCAAGCATCGCGTAAAATTTTCTTTTTTAATCATTTAAACTGTCATTGGCATTTGCATACCAGATGTCTCCTCTAATAAGACGTTCTAGTGTCCAGTGTTCTCCGTGTGTATCATCTAAAAAATCAGTACTTACCCAAGTGGTGGCTTCAAACATTTTCACATCTAGAGGATCACCAGAGATCTCTCCTTCTATCCTGGTCAGAGAGTGACAGGTTGCCATGGAGATGAGAAGGTTGTCTTCAGGCAAAGTGTTTGCTTCTTGGACAACATCTTGGAATCTAAAAACAACGAAAAAAAAACGCTCTGAAAAAACACTGCAACAAAACTCAATGACAACTTTGATTCTGATAAAATTAACAAAGCTTATTACAACCTAAGCTATGTGGTTCTAAGATGTTATCTGCTCACCTGCCTTCTTCCGCAGGTACCACACCCCAGATATCCAGGCCATCTTCTGTAAGGGTACCTGTCTGGAAACAGCTATACCGTTAATCCATGTGATAAATCCATGTGATAAATCCATGTGATAAATCCATGTGATAAGTAAAATTACTAAACAAAATAATTGAATTATTTTCATATTTCAACTTTTCAAATTAACACCGAGTTCAGTTTATAAACAGAAAAGAAACAAAATGCATTAATTTAAATGTTATTAAATTATTTGATATCTGGTTTGGCACACAATAAACAAAAATGACAGAGGCACTATATATGAGATTTTGTGGAATTATTATCCGTGTAGACACCAAAAAGAAAGCCTACATGTACCTAATTTAAGAGCAAATGTGTATGTCTACCTTATCAAAGCAGACCACATTAGTGGATCCACACACTGGGATGGTGGCCGGGTTGATGCAGTAGATACCAGTCTTCTTAAGGCGGCTCTGTGCGAACACTGTGCCAATGGTGAGTGCCGCGGGGAGGGCTGGGGGTACCGCTATGGTGATTAAATCTAGAGTACGGAGAACTATGTCTCCCGGCTCTTCTTCATCACCCACCTGAATATACATGATTATTTGTACACTTTTACACTGAAAGTTCTCAGTGTGTCTCGTTTTCAAAAAAAAAAAAAAAAAAAAGAAAACACACAGAGAGAGAGAGAGAGAGAGAGAGAGAGAGAGACTTCGTTGCAGTCACCTCTGGGCTGTGTTCGGCCCAAATGTGACCTCACCAAAAGTTTATAATTGTACAATATGATAGAATATGATAGACATCACAAAGACAAGTTTAATTTATATCAGTAGTGCCCCATGCTTTCACACAGCATGTCTATGTGTGTTATGCATCCTCACCATTATGACTATGACATAGATGAAACCCATGAAAGCAATGGCGGCCAGGGCACCAACAAACAAGTACGCATCTTGAGTGAACTTGAAGTTCATTGGCTTTGGAAACATAATGGACCGCACCAGCTCCCCCTTGGCCGTCATAAAACCTAGAACAGACTTTTAGTATTATCAAGGCCAATATACATCTTGTAATTTTATACCAAACTTTTAAATAATAAATCAATTAAGCCCGTTATAGTAATCGTCTATTTAAGAAACATGTGCACAAAATAAACTTTTATGTGATACATATTGCAAAAGAACTTTCTGACAAACCATTAAGCACATGGGTACTATGACATTGTTTCTTTAAGCACGCATTCTATAACAACAATAAAAACTATTAACTGTAATGTGGCATAGCATCGTCTACCTGAACCAGTGCAGGATATATAATATATGATATAGTTTACCTGTCCTGAGGACGACTGCCTTCACTCTCTGACCTTTATAGAACCTGGTTTGTATAACTCTGGTCCCACAGTACAGGATATATTTGATATATGATATAATTTACCTGTCCTGAGGACGACTGCCTTTACTCTCTGTCCTTTATAGAACCTGGTTTGTATAACTCTAGTCCCACAGTACAGGATATGGCGCGAGTGATGACTCATAGAGAATGTCTCTTCAGCAGAGCCTGGGTTGGGCTTAGGAACTGGTGTTTTGGTGACAGGGACACTTTCACCTAGAATGGATTGAATCTAATAATGGGACGTCTTAAAAAAGACAGAAAGGAAGCATTATTACTAACAGTGCATAACAATAATGGATAGTCCCACGTCCTGCAGCACACGTAAAAATACAGCCAATAAGTGCCACCACTACTATACACACATACCTGTCAGCATACTCTCATTAACAATACAGTTTCCAGCTATGAGGACAGCATCACACGTCATGATGCAGCCAATAGGTGTCACTACTATACACATACCTGTCAGCATGCTCTCATTAACAATACAGTTTCCAGCTATGAGGACAGCATCACACGTCATGATGCAGCCATGTCGTGGAATTTCTAGGATATCTCCAGGCACCAGAGAATCTGAAGACATCTCACTAAAATCTAATTAATATCCTTCATTTAAATTCCATATCCAATATAGAAGAACATAGAGACATATGTGTCACTGCCTTAAGAACGACTATATATATATATGCTAGAATTTTAGTTCATAAAACTATACACAATAAGTTTACTACATATATAACTGTGCTCTGGATTCATGCCCGATGCTCGCCTGCGTNCACATACCTGTCAGCATACTCTCATTAACAATACAGTTTCCAGCTATGAGGACAGCATCACACGTCATGATGCAGCCAATAGGTGTCACTACTACACACATACCTGTCAGCATACTCTCATTAACAATACAGTTTCCAGCTATGAGGACAGCATCACACGTCATGATGCAGCCAATAGGTGTCACTACTATACACATACCTGTCAGCATACTCTCATTAACAATACAGTTTCCAGCTATGAGGACAGCATCACACGTCATGATGCAGCCATGTCGTGGAATTTCTAGGATATCTCCAGGCACCAGAGAATCTGAAGACATCTCACTAAAATCTAATTAATATCCTTCATTTAAATTCCATATCCAATATAGAAGAACATAGAGACATATGTGTCACTGCCTTAAGAACGACTATATATATATATGCTAGAATTTTAGTTCATAAAACTATACACAATAAGTTTACTACATATATAACTGTGCTCTGGATTCATGCCCGATGCTCGCCTGCGTATAAACATTTTATCTTACATGTGTCAATAATTAAAGAACTTCAGACAAGCAGGCATATTTAAGTATGTGGAAAATAGAATGGCAGAGCATCAGATGTGCTTCTCTGGGACAGGTTTAACTAACCATCAGCATGTGTCCCTTGTTTTACTGTCACCGTGTCCCGGCCATGAATGGTATTCTTCAGTTTCCTCTCCATCTGGAACGGTTGTTTAGTTCTATTAATAATTCAATGTTTTAATGCAATTTGTGCAGATGTAAGTTCAAGTATCAGAATTATTCACATTTCTCATTCTTGTTCTACTGGATGATTTTAAACAACATTCACTCACTTTTCTTCCCTGTAACAAGCACCCTCACCTTCCTGATCTGGTATATGGCCACCACGATGGAGACTGAGGTGATGAGGACAATGGTGCTGGCGTAATAGTAGTACACATCCGCGTACCACAGGGCACAGCTGAACACTTGAAACACGTAGAATGGGCTGAAAATCTGGAGCAGAATTGGCACACATAAGTATCTCCACAGTGTTGGGGAGAGTATTCTAATAGCTCAATTTTCTGTCTTCCTCATGAGGACTTCAGATGTCCACTGATTTTTACTATGACAACAACAGACCCTCTCCAAGAATACTTCATCTATTCACTGATGGTTGCTATGCCAACGATATACCCTCCTCATGAGGTCTTCAACTGGCTACCAAATTAAAGGTATAACTTTCGAAATAAATTCTGATTGCCATGGATAGACAGAAGCAGATCAGTTAATGATAATAAAGCCAGTGAATCACCCACCTGCTGTATAAATATCTTCAAAATAGGAGTAACGTGGACCTCAATGTAATTTGCACCATAAAGCACAATTCTGAAAAAAACAAAAACGTGTATCTGACATGGAGAAACCAAATCTCAATGTGTTAAAAAGATACCAATCCCAAAGAATAATATGCTGCCTCACATTTAATTTCGTTTTTAAGACATTACAAGGGGTAAGAAGGGCAGATAGGGTGTGTTTTTTGTGAAACTTTGAGTGTTCAGTATACCATCAAATGATATACGTACATCCTGAATACTTTGTTTTTCTTTCTCCAAAATGTGAGAGACAAATGTTTACTGAATCTGTCCACAAATTTCAATCCTTTCAGCCCCACTTCTTCCTCTCAAACTTTACAACACAAGCGGCATCATGAAAAATACACAACTCACACAGACACAATTTATTTACTTTAAAACTTCAGTATCTCACCTTCTTGCTCTCTCATCTGCACTGACTCCTTCTGCTTCATAGAAATATGCACAAGACACTCCCTCTTCCAGACCCCTAAGACAGGATGATGGGTACAGGAATTAACAGCAGGCATAATTTTATAAATTAATGAATGAATATTATTAAATGTGGAGGAATTTAACTATATTTTTAAAATTATAATAAATTGTAACAGGTTACATGAATGATCAACATCTACAATTTTACCGAAATATTTAGAGTATATTACTTGAGACGTTCAAAGCTCTTGAGCTCTGCATTCCAAATATATTTGATCTTCTTGTTCACAAAGTTTCTTATAATGGCTTCGGGCTGAAATAAAAACAAAACAGAATTTTAACAGGATTTAAAAGTAAATTAAATAAACACGCATTAGATAAAAAACACAAACAGAATATATCAATTTCCAAACAGATTATACAGACTCCACAAATGTTCAAGTGAAAATTGCTGAAAGAAATTCAACGTATGCATTGTTTTTCTCCAAATCCCAGTTGTAAGTAATGTTATTTCTAGCCTTGATATATTTCGATAACAAAGATTCATTTTACTTTTTCCATTGTATTTCTTGATGAGGTCTTGGTCAGGTTTGCCTTGGGATCCAGCGATATGTGTGGGACGTGAGTCAGGGACTCCACACTCTCAAAGCTGGACGACAGGTCTGGATCCACGCTGAAACACACACAGAGGTAGTCACATGAAGACTAACAGAGAAGTAGCCGCATAAAGACTAACACTTAATTACACTATATACGAGTCAAAAAATGGAACTCTGATATTTGACTTCCAATTTATCACCAGAATTTGGCGCTTTCGTTCCAATAAAGGAAACAGTCTTATCCAACACCAAATTAATTTACTTTGTTTTGGTATAGAGAAAAGCATATATGTAACAATTAACTGACGCGTTGGGAAGAAGAACTGATTTGAAATGACAAACGCTACCTCTGTCCCTCCCTAGTAACTGTCCTCACTTTGTTGACTGACCACTGCAAGTACTGGTCCTGAAATATAGGTCACAATAAACTAAGTATGGTTTTTATGTTTTGTGATTTACTTAGCTGGGATCCAATCCTCACACTGCATTATATTATAAGATTGGTCAGTTAACATTGTAAATACAAGCACGCTGTGACACGAACACTGATAAATTTAACATACCGCCACACAAAACACACTGCCACACCTAACACACTGTCACATCTAACACATTGCCTCAACCAACACACTGTCACATCTAACACATTGCCTCAACCAACACACTGTCACATCTAACACATTGCCTCAACCAACACACTGTCACATCTGACGAATTGTCACAATTAGCCTATCACAGTTACATGAACACACTGTCGCATCTAACACGCCGTTATATTTTACAAGTTGTCACACCAAACACACTCTCACTCTCCCCAACACACTGTCACACCTAATACACAGTCACATTTAACACACTAGCTCTCACGTGAAACAATGACAAGATCAACTTACCTTCAATAACACACGGGTGGCCTTGCTAAGTGAACAGCGAGAGTGAGTACATTGTAACATCCAGTCCCGCCTCCAGTAGAAAACTAAGCCCAGGAACCCCGCTGTCACCACTAGGAACACTCCACTTATGACACACTTGAAGATACTCCTTCTGTACCCATAAATTTCCTGAAAACAAAGTGTTCACTACAAATGAAGTCGAAAAGCACGATGTTTACACCCAGGTAAAGCTAAGTAGTTTATAGAAGGTATGCGTGTCCGTGTGTGTGTCAATCTCCTTTTCTGTACCATACGGAGAAAGAGAGGGGGAGAGAGGGGGAGAGAGAAGGAAATAGAAAGAGAAAAAGTAAAGAAGAAGAAGAAAAAGAAGAAAGAAAAGGTAACAGTTTGTACTCAAAATTAAATGAAGTGTAAATGACTTAAAGAAGCCATGTGCATACCATCTGATCCTCTTCTCCAGGGTTCACATACGACTTGTTGGGGTCCATTGGAGGGGGCCCAGTACGAGTGATCTTCACATCAGATGACATGGCTGCCTTTACTACATTAATATATACAGAAAACATGAAGAGATTACAAATGGTATATTACAGAGATACTTGCAACATAAAGAAAACGTGTCGAGATTACATATATGGTATATTAAAGAGATAGGGAGCATTCACATCGAGAACAGCCGAGGTCTAGTAAGGCCAGGACCTAAATATGGCAGTGACAGTGTTAGTGACAGTGTTAGTGTACATGAAAGGAAGAATGCTAATCCCGTTAATCCTCCCCACGTGTCGTCCCTGCAGGGGCACAGTGATTAAATCTCAGATCACTTCAACCTGCCGAGGGACACGCGTGGGGAGGCGTGTGAGAGCCGGAGAGACCATTACAGGATTAGCGGTCTTTCTATCATGTAGGTCCGCCATATTTAGGTCGCGGCCTTACTTGACCTCGGCTCTTCTCGATGTGATTGCTCCCATAAAGTACGAGTGATTTTCATGCCATGGCTGTCTTGTTACATAGAGAAAATATGAGTAGATTATAGATGGTATATTACAGAGGTCCAGGACGAGTGATTTTAACATCAGATGACATGGCTGTTCTTGTTCGCGTATAAGTTAAATGTGGTACATTAATTACTGTATTGTCCATGGCAGAACAATGCGTTTGTGCTGTGTAGAAGTTATCAGAGCGTTATTGCCAAAGCGTACTGGGTTTTTAATTTAACTCATCGACTACGAGCATTTCGTAACTTTACTATGGCTTCGACTGTGTCAAGCTTTTTTTGTTTTCGGATTGTTTCGATAATCCTGGTTTCTTTAACATGCGGAACAAGACAACAAGTGACTCAACTTTTACCAACAGTTAATACTAGCTGACATCCAGAAACTGTGCTCAAACTGGCGTGTCAAAATCCAATCAGCAATTTTAAAAGATAAAATCTATTAAGCGTCGCACGCAAACGCCTAGCCCATTAAAGTGTTCCTAGATAATGGCATTAAAGACGGATATGAAGTCAGTGTTTGGCACAAAAGCCAACAAACAAACAACCTTATAGTTCCAAATTGTATACCTAAGAAAAATAACAAAAGATATCATTTAAAATCACCCGAAAAAAATTAAATTTGAACAGATTTTCTGCTCGTTTTCTGTTCTGTATTTAAACGAGGCAGATTAGTTCTATATCTAGTAGGCCGAATTCATGTAGGCCTAAGTAGGTATTTAATACGGCAAAAAGTTTGAAGAATGTGCAGTTTAAATCTCTTTTATGGATGATCTAGCGAATAATTTGGTTTATCCCTTCACGTGTTGACTTTATTTAAGTCGTATAAGAAACTAGTAGAAGTGGTTAATATGTGTTACTAAAAATCCTCACTCCGTCGACGCTCAGTTTAAAATGTACATTTAAAGTAGTTTAGATAATACCATAAAAGTATGGCAATCCATGATAGATGAGTTCTTTGGCGTCTTTACGCAATCTATATAAGTATATTCATTCCTGTCACAGCTGAGGCAGCAATTTAAAAGACTTACCTTGTGTAAATATTCCAGCAGCTGAGTTAGGTTTACCTTTTTTGTTGTCGTCGTACGACAATGTTTTTTTTAAAGAATCACTGAGCAAAACATTGCTCCCCACAGCGACTGCCACGATATCAGATCGCAATGCAGGCTTCGTGTATAGTTAATTAATAAAGTTAAATAAAACAAAAAATTAGATAATTCTGTCCTGGTATCTGCCCTGTGCGGACATCAAGACGCTCAGAGTTCAACTTTACCACTTTTTACACCTACCGGTAGAACGCCAGTCCCGCGCTGTGCGCTACCCTCCACTTATACAGCAATGAACGACTTCTTTGTCAAAATCAGTAGAATATCCAAAATTCTGAACTTTTTCCTGAACCTATAGATATGTATTTCGTCAGCTGATTGACCTGCAAGGTAAACAGAAGAGATCCTCAAGACTGTTTATTTTCCTGAGATAAGGTATACAGTAGGTAGGCCCCCCAATGTCATAACATGCATACCATCGTCTCCTCTTCACCTGACATCTGACCCCGTCTTCTGTCATGAATGGCAATAAACTGGAGCACTAGCAGGTGGAGGTATGGAGATTGGGGGGAGTGGAAGGTAGATAAAACATGCACTTTTCCTTTGCTTCGCTGACCAGGTCATGTATACCGGAGCGTCCAGGGTGCTGTGCAGCCCCCACCCCCACCCCCACCCCCACCCAACTCGCACCCCATACCTAGTGGTTAATGGTATTGGGTAGGTCTACTGGGTGAAATATTCTCCAAGACTTCAGTCCGAGGCGATAACCTCCAATGCTGTAACCATGTACTCTCTTTCACGAATAAAAGCAAACAAAATTTAAGTATTATACAATAACTTCCAAGACTGCTTTAACTACAATACGTTTGTAGATTTTTTGTTTATATATATATACATTTGACGTGCTGCCTGTTTAAGCAACTGCATGCATTGGTACACAGGTTAAATGTTTACCTTCACCTAAATATGTACATGTAGACTTAGTACTCGGCTGGATAGTAACACATATAAACATGTACAGGAAACACCCCCCCCCCCCCCCAGCCCAACCCGTCAGCCCCTCCCACCCCAAACCAATGCGCCCACGCCTACGTCTTAAAAGCACACCTTATTTAACCTGTCAGTGAGTTAATCTGTGGGGTACAATACTGCTGGCCGATACAATGACCGACCACCACGCTTGGCCAACTCTGCATTAACGAGTGAACGGTCACTCATCGTTTATCTAAAGAATGTGACATTTATGGCTGGACACTTAGAGGGCGTTGGTCAGTTATAATAACGGTAAACAGTATGTGTGTACGACAATGTCGTCAGCAGTCCATAAATACAAATGTAGATGCACTCTACAATCGTAGCTCCTGGCACGGCTGGATAAGGGGATGGAGGGGTGGGGGGAGAGGGGGTCACCTATTTGCTGAGGGGGCACACTTAATTCTAGAATGTGTACCTGCAATTTACACTCAGTACATTGAATAACTTCGGGCGCCTTCGGGCGCCTTGTGCTGATGATCTATTTTAAGAAATCTCTATGATAACAACACCCCTACCTGTGCCTCTTCATGCTCGCATTACTGCCATTACATTACATTGCATTGATTCGCTATCTTCTTAACTTAAATACCTAGTACTCCTAGTTTTGCTAATTAATACTTTATTGGAGATTTACATGTAGCAGAAAGGTAGTAAAAGCCCCAGAGGTCGTTATTGCAGTTGAACAAACCATGTCCCAGCTACAGGTAGGCGCTGTAAACACACCCGATCCATTCTCCGCTGCTAATTTAGTTACAGGTTTTGTCATTTACACTGTCGCGTGGGTCCCAGCACCCCCCTGGTGTCCGATCATGTTCATACTTGGACCTACTGATACCAGTCCCACACATCAGACTAACTTGAGGTTCATACACACTGGCTTAGACCTACCTGCGGTGCACTTCCTCTCCCTGACTGCGACAATTGTCGACCTCTCTAAGCGTCATGGTCTAGATTTGACCTACTACTTGTGTACCTGTAAAAGTTCACAAATCAGTGTGACAGGAATCTTGTCTCGATAAGTGTCAGCGACCTGGCTTCTCGATAACGTCCAGTACAGTCACCACGAGGGAGAAACGTGTATGATGATACATGTACAAGTATAACGTGAAAGGACTGGGCAAAGAGGCGTATCTCGACTGATAGTAAGAACTAGACCGAGTTATCTGTCGGGAATAGCACTGGAGATATCTTGGTGTGTTACGTGTGTGTGAAAAAGAGTAATAAAACATCAGTGTTTTCATGAAAAAGAGAGCTTTAAATGCACACTTAACAGAGAACTTGTGCAACAGCGCACAACATCCAGGACCAAAAAAAAAAAATACGAGTAGCTACATTTCTGTCGGAGAAGAAGGGCACGTCAACAAAACAGTGTAAACAAGTGACACGGCCCTCCCGCATGCCTGTGCATTGACCCTGATTTGTAATGTACAGGTGGAGCCGCTTTACAACGTGCCCCTGCACATAGTTAGAGTATGGGCCGTTTATGATTGTGTCCTATACAGAGAGCCAACTTTTTTTTTAAATGTAGATGGCGAGATTGGCGCATGGCAATAAGTCATCGGTGTAGCTGCTATAGAGGATAACTTTCTTATGTGGTGTTATCACGAGAAAATCCCATCTAACGCCGCCCTTTTGTTACATTCCTGTCATAAACAGTAGACATGTCGATATATCTACGTCTTTAATTTTACCTGCCCTTAATCAAAAAGTAAAATAATAATAATAATTAATCGTAAAAGGTCATTAATGGCAGTTTGAGTCTAGTTATGTTAGAGAACAGATAGAATGTAACAGTGACACAGGGTTGTATGGACATGCTATTTTTATATAATAATAATAATAATAATAATAATAATAATAATAATAATGTTTATTCAGCCATAATATATTACTTTCATGTTATATCCAACATTTCAATATAACACGTACACATGTCATGGCAAAATTGGAATGCTCTGATTGTTCCAAACAGCTTGAAGTGAACTTAAGGGACCCACCACCACCCTCACCCCCGACGTTGCTATATAGATAAATGTACTACAGAATGTGAGAGGCGCTCGGCCACGTGTGAAGTTTTACTTCGAGTCCATCACAGATCAACGACTGCATACTCGCTGTGGTCCCCCATTTCTAGCCCAGGTAGAGTAAAACGTACGCAGCGTGCTTTCCTAAAGATCACTAAACTATGACCTTACTTTTCAGCAGTATTGAAATTAAAAAAGGAAACGCACGGATAATTCAGAGATAACAAATATTCTTGTCTTTAACATGATCCTCTTTAAGGCGAGGAATAGACCACTTGGGGATAAAAAATGCCTTTCTTTCTAAATAAGAAAAGAAAGCACCCGGATATGTGATCATAAAATTTAGTTCCGAGTATTTCCAACTTAAATCTACCAGCAAAAGAAAAGTGCCAGCATCAACAGTTAATTTTTGTACATCTCGCTGATATTTGATCATAAAATTTAGTTCGAGCACTTCCAACTTAAATCTACCAGCAAAAGAAAATTTTCGGTACGGGTAACGACAATTAATTCTTGTACATCTCGCCGATATTTGATCATAACATTTAGTTCGAGCACTTCCAACTTAAATCTACCAGCAAAAGAAAATTGTCGGCATCGAGAGTATCGACAGTTAATTCTTATACATCTCGCTGATATTTGGTCTGGTCATAAAATTTACTTCGAGTACTTTCAAATTTAAGCCTTCCAGCAAAAGAAAAGTGTCGGTATCGAAAGTATGGAGAGTTAATTCTTGTACATCTCGCTGAAGAACTCCACGATGAAATCGTCAATAATTCCTTTGTCCGGAATCTTGGCCATCATACCGTACATGGCTGCAGTGCCGCCAGCTGACTGGCCAGGGTTTGCCTGGAGGGAGAGAAACTTGGTTTTAATTAATCTGAAAATATTTTTGATAAAGTTTCAAATCTGATCTTCCATCAATGTGAGTAAAGTTCATTGACGAATAAAACCCTAAAGATGCATTTGAAATTATTTTTGACACATAAGCCCTCCAGATGCCAACTTATAGTTTCAAACAGTCTAGCTTAAAGAAATGCCTAAGGATTTCATTTCATATTAGCCGAAAAGTGATATTTGAATGAATATTTTCTGCTTTCTTTCTATGCTACATGTGACGGGATGGTACGTCTACTTACGACCAAAACAGTGAAGAAGGCACAGTTTCAAAGCTCTTTTATGGCTGATCGAGAGATTAATTCTGTTTATCCCTTAGTATGTCGACTTTATTTGAGTCGTGTAAGAAACTAGCACAAGTGGTTGATATGCGTTACCGGTATTCACACTTGACTTCAGCACACATCCTTCATTGCGCTAGTTGTGACAAGCTGATTGCTCTTACCTTCACATCCTCTGCCGCCGCCTTCAGGTCTGCAATGAAACCGTCCAGCACATTCAGATGATGAGGCATCAGCGTGAAGTGAATAGAAATTGGAAGTTGCTGGCGTTCAATCTTCCAGCCTGAAAGTTACATACAATAATAACACAACGTTTGATTTTAAGTGTAATGTTATTTACCACTGACACATGATTGAATCCTACAAGCATGTACACTTGAAATCTAGAACTCAGACCTTAAGAATATATATGCCAGCAGCATTACCATGCAACAAGTAGGCTTTAACTGGTGTATTTAGAAACTATGACAAATGTTCTTCCAGGGCGTCAAAATGGCTAGGTGTGGTGGGGGTGGGGTAGGGGTGATTTCAGGAGTAAATTGAAAAGCCATTCGTTTTCGAAAGGGGTGTTACCGGTAGCTTCTCGCAACTTTGTTCTAGGACCTAACCCTTAAATAATCCACCCAAATGATCAACATACATGCACAGCCCACTGTCCAACCTTACCTTTATTCTCTAGGATATCTGCCAATACCAGTATATCAAATTTTGGATCTGCTGACATCAGTGCAAATATGGTCATGTGGGGCTCACCAACCACCTGCAGGCTCTTGGAAAACAAAAACAAAATATATAAACTATATTAATAAATAATAATACATTCCCAGGTCGGTTCTTTCCTTGACTGTTTTGAACTCTGTTAAGAATTTTAATTCCAATACAAGATGATATTGTTCTGGGATAACCACAGGTAAGTTGATAAGTGTTCGCTGTGTCAGTCAGGTGTGAAGTAAATGTAATCACTCATGTGACACTCATGAGACTACACCTAGATCATACTGCTACCTGACCCAGAGAGGAGAGGTACCTGTAAAATGGTTCTCTTTCCATGACTCTACAGTTACGTAAGTGTTTGGGTTTGTTTTAATTCTGTGTATTTATGGAGACTGTAGTTTTATTTTGTATTTTGTAAAGTATATTAGTGACCGGTGTAACGTGACAGAGAGTCCCCCGTGACAGAGGGTCCGCTTCCCATTCATTACTTACAGGAATATTGCGCACAGCGTCCAGAACTTTGGCCCTAGCGTTCATCAGTTGACTGGCGATATCTGTGTACCCGTCCTCCCCTAAAACCCTCATAGCTGCCCAGGCTGCAGCGATGGTACCACCTACAGTGGATAGAGGGCAGTTGTGTCACTAAAATTCATTTATCTTCAACAGTGTAACCAACATTCTATCTCTCACTGCCTTACATTGTATTTACACAGTTTCAAGCGGTAGACATCAAACATTACACCTGCTTCTTTACCTGGTCGACTTCCCGCCATGCTCGGCGACCCAAACAACCCTCCTGGCCATCCTGAGTACGCGAAGATCTGGTATTTTCTCAGCTCCTCACTACGGTACAGCACCACGCTGGCCCCCTAGAAATGGATACAATATATCTTATTTAGTTAAGTGTATTGTTATACTTTGATTTAAGGGGGTCCACGGGATGCCATCAACTTCTCTAGGGTCCTGCATGTATTCAGAATACGGGACTAACTAGTCCGAAGGTCAAATATGGCGACCCACTACAAAGCTTGTCGTATAATCCTAATAGACACTGAATACTATAGATATCCCGTGGGGAAGTATTCAAGTGGGTTGGCCATATTTAACCCTCGGACTAGTTAGTTCCCTATTCTGAATGGGGCCTAATATATTTTTCTAAAGTTACATACTTCCTATACTGTCATGCCTATAATTCACGCTACAACTAATTGATCATTTTCTGACATCTGTACGCGTACATGGTGACGAGATAATTATAGGGCAAAACACAATGGCAATGAAAATGAGAAGACGTCAGTCCCGCCCTATGTTCGCTAATATGCAAATCAACCCCGCTTGTCCATCGGTGGCGGCTTGTCACCCTGTTTATGCTCGACGGGGAGTTAATTGCCGCTTGCTGTAAGCCGACGTAATTACATAGTTGCTTATCTGTCGGTACTGTTCCTTTCTCTAGGCTGACATAGGGCCTATCTCCTGCCTTGCTAACGGGTTTTTCTTCACTTTGCAAAGTTATGTTTGAAAGATTTAATATTTATTCTACTTGTGAGTTTCTGTCCTGCTATTCACAATTTCCCCACATAACGGCCAACGTTAATTTGAAAATGACGTAATGCAGTATCGGTCACAAACCACGGAGCGTGCTGAGGTAATGAGTAAAAATAAAATAAACTACTT